ATGAGTTTAATGTTAATGAATCAACAATATATATTAAATAAGGTGGCTTTAAACAGAAACACACATGAAATGAGGTTATACATTGATTGGTTGATGAAAATGTTGTGATCAGAGGCTCTACGGAACCTAACCTTGTATTTCTCCTAGGAGCAATGGTTCAGTATTTGCTAATTCAGTGCTTGAGAAGGCAATATAGACAAAAACAATGGCAAATAATGAGAATTGGCTATACTACTCTTAGTAATCAACCTCTTGTTGGGATTTACAATGTACTATAGAGATGATGTAGAGATTGGATTGCATGATCTTTTGATGCTTTCTGATCCTTCTAATACCTTTTGGTATCATGGAATTGAATGATTGGACATCTTAAGTCCAGCTTGCAGAAATAAGTTTTGATCAAGTTTTTAAATGGTATATGTCAATTCTACCCACCCCCACTGCCTTTCCCGTAACTAATCACACTCTGTAACAAGCAGTGGAACATTATTTGCAGAGATGGGATGAACAGGCGGTTTTTGACTGTGAAATGTGTTTGCCCCCAAGGATCTCATCAGATGCTCAGTTTGGCTCTCGTTATGCAGCAGCCAATCATTACAGGAAAAAGGAATACTTTTCCTAACCTTCAGTAACTTCAATGATACCCCCTCATCATGAAAGAAGACCTACCTAGCGAATACAGAAGGGGAGTCTAAGATAAAAGAAACTGAGGAATGGTGAAAAAGAACAGAAATGCTATCCAAGGAAAGAGAGAGAGATGCAGATTAGCAGAGTGAATTTAGACCAGAATGCTTTAACACAGATGTTCGGTAAAGCTAAATCCAATTCTTATTGAAAATACGGCTTTTAAAATTTCTCCAACAATGTATCAAGAAAAAAGTAAAGAGAAAATGAAAAAAAAAACAAAACCAGATTTTTTCAACCCTGTTCAAGATCCTACCCAATCCGCAACCCCTGCCACCCCATACTCTTTTTTTTTTTTTAATTTTTTTTCATTTCAGAATATTAGTGGGGTACACACGCTTTGGTCACATAAATTGCCTTTGCACCACCCAAGTCAAAGCTGCAAGTGTGCCCATCCCCCAGACAACACCTGTTAGGAGTGAATTTACCCATCCCCTCCTCCCCCCGACCACCTTCGGGCATAGAATGCCATTTTAATTATGGAAAGTTATAAAACAAGAAGTATTTGAGATCTGGGAACACAGACACATACATCAAAAGACAGTGCATTTAGAGGAAAGAGCTGTAAGCTGGGGGTAAAGGGCTAGGTTCTAATTATCTGTAGATGGCAAACTCTGGCTTTGTAGGACACATATAGATGAGACAAAAACCCTATAATTTGTTACTTCAACCTGCTATGGGTTTGCAGACAAGTCAGGGCTAACTTCTTTATTGTAGTCCTCGATCTCAACACACCTGCTGAGAGAAACAAATGTTATCAGGCTAAGAAGCACAGAGCAGGAAGTGGATTGATACATCCCCTTCTCCAATTTACACCATTTGGATGATGTCTAAGTCTGAATTTGCAAGTAAAGAAGAGCCAGCAACCTCTACAACAGATACAGAAATAGACCAACATTCAATATTTATACCCGTTTTGTCTCAGCGATTGTTTTGGTGGCTTGCTTTGCCTAAAATGATAATGCCCAGCATCACTTTCTGTCAAGTTGGCTGGGAGCCTAGACATCAATTGCAGTGTGTTAGGTGATGCACAGATGAGATAAATAATCTTTTTTTATTCATAACACTACTGACATATTTTTCTATTTTAAAGACCAAGTGGTCACTTGGCGGTTTCCTTTGGCAAAAGAAGTTTTTGAGACAGGAGAAAGTGTTGACAGAGGTAGACACACTTCTCATTTCTTTGTAAGCTGTAGTAGTAAATTCAAGATTTAAAATTTGTAGTCAAATATGGAGTTTTATAGAATACAACATAAATGTCAAAATAGACACCAGAAAAAATTATTTTTGCTTCTGTAATCCTATGGTGAAGGCAATCTCAGATTTAATAGTTATTCCAAAAGAAATGGGAGAATAAAGCTTCATTGTAAAATACAATACTTTAACAAACAGGGGAAGGTTTGTAATTTCAATACAAAGAGAGAACACTAGTACTTCTTTGCCAAATATGTAGCTAATCATGTTTAATTGAAGCTATTATTGCAATGAGAAGAAATAACAATTTGACTTCTAGGGAGTTTTAATTGGCAGTATTGTAATATTTGTGCAATGCTACCTCTACTACAAGAATAAAAAGCTTTTACAATTGTATACTGAAAAATGAAAGTATCAATATAAGTTCTGTAAATTCTGGAAATAATAATGTAGCTAGCTAAAGAACAATTTTCTTCACTAGCTTCACACAGCTTGGAGAAAAATAATTTTCTCTAAAATATACTCATCATCTCTTTTTCTAACCCGTCTATTGCACGTTTTCTCATTTGTTCCTCATTTATTCCTCATTACATTTCCTCATGTATTCCGCTATTTCATCATCTCTAGTTAGTAAGAACCAAAATATAGAGATATTTTTATATTATGCACTACGGTCCTAATTTGAAACTTAATGTCATTCTTCTGTGGGTTCTGTGATCCTTGGAAAGATGGCCTTAAAAAAGAAACAGGGTTTTTCAGGGATAGTACTAAAGTCTCTTGAAATTACACATTTGCATCCAACTACTTAATATACGATCTTCAACCATTACTGTGAAGGGCGGGGGATTGTTATCCCACTTTGTCTTCACCAGCAAACACTTCAACATGCATGAGTTTTTCCCCACCAGAATCATTACTCAGCAAACACCAATTGAGTGTTCCATGTGAACGTGACACCGTGCCAGGTGATGTAGAGGATGCAAAGTGACATACACTGCATCTGACAGCATTGTAGTGGGAAAGGCAGATGTACATAAGACATTTATACAATTTGCACTGCAGAGCAAGAAGTGTCCTGGATGTATTGTACACAGAGAGAAGGATTTCAATGGGGTAGAGCAATATGGACTCCTTAAAGGGGCTGTATTAGAAGACAGGAAAATTCTGCCTCAGTTAAGGTAGCATGCCATTGAAAATAAAAAAGCATCAGAAGTTCTGGAAACACAGTCAAAATTCATCTAATTTGATGTATAGACTAGATAAAGTGAGATAATAGGTGATAGATGTGGAAAAACATGTAGAAGCCCAAACACCAGAATCCTGAACATCAGATGAAGCCATTTGAACTTACGTGTTTGTATGTATGTAACTTTTTTTTTAATTTCAAAATATTAAGGGGGTACAAATGTTTTTGTTACATAGATAGCTTTTTTAATGTTTAAGTTAGGGCTGTTAGTGTGCCCATTACCCAGATAGTGTTCATTGTACCTGATAGGTAGGTTTTTATG